GATATAAGATGAGAAAGTTTGTCAAATTGGCTTCAACTGTTTGACTCGGTCAAACAAGTAAGTCAAGATTCGTTAAGTCGAATCGAGATAGGATGGTCATTTATTGTTAAAATCGATTTGATAATGTCCGTTTCACTCTGATTTAACCATCATTTTCATAAATCAACCACTATTATTAAGACCGGACCGAGCCGGTCGACTGGACCACTAAAGCCGCCAACCGGCCTCAAAACCGGCTCAGCCCAGTCATTTAGCCGCTACGGTTTTATAAAGCGGCCGACGAGTGGTCGAGGCGGTTAACCGCTCGAGCCGCTCGATAGGCTTTTCCCTTCCGACCATTCTGTTTAATAAAAAAATTGAAAAAGAAAATTAGAAATTGAAGAAGAGCGGCGCCAGACACTGCCACCGTCAACACTTCTCGTCTCGGTTTCCCGTCGGCATCGTCGCCATCCCCAGTCAGCCTAGCTGCTCCGAGCTCGCCATCGTCAGTCTTCGTCCCCGTCCCTTCTTCCATTAGCAACTCCTCCGCTCCGTCGTCACTTCCCGTCCTGACGCTTCCCGTCGCCATCGCCAGTCCCTATAACCGCTCCCTGCTCCCGACTCCCCGCTCGCCATCGTCAGCCCATGTTCCCTCTTCCTGTAGTTGCTCCTCTTATAGCCATGATTCTAGAACTTCTGTTACTCATGTTTTGGAATTGTTAAGAGTTAAGAGAGTAATTTACTAATTCAATCATGGTTTACCATTATTAATAAGTGTCCACTGTTTATACTGATTGTTTAATAGGTATCGGTTTTCTAACGGTTTTTAAACGGTTTAATGTCGGCTGGACCGTTAAAGACCAAGCCGTTCACGTTATCAGGTCGTACTCTGGTTCACTTTTGACAACATTGAAATCAACGCCCGGGTGGGAGACATGAGCTAGTTATATATCTTGGCCATAGATTGAGCTTCAAGCATAGTCATTCGAGGTCGTTCAACCAATTATTATTATTATGGACCCAACAATATTATTTATGAAATACTTTAGCATTAATATTTTAATATTATTTTATTAAATTATATTTTTTAATATTTATAAATATTATTATTTTTTATTTCATATTTATTTATGTGTGAATATTTTATAACGATCTTGTACAAATTTGATATATCTATTTTATAATAATATAATTTACTTACTTTTCACTAATTTGCACCCCTATTTTTTCTTCCAAACAACAATTTAGCCCTCCACTTACACCCCCAACAACTTACACTCCCAACAACTTGCACCCCGGGCAATTTACCCCTCAATTTGTACCCTCGAATTTGCACTCCTAGTTGCCATGTAGGACCCGAATTGATAAAATAAATTGAACTCACTTTGTTGCCGTACCTTGCAGTGGTTATACGTGGCTATTGTAAGGAGGGTTGTGTTTTTATGAGCCAACTATTGAGCTTGAATAGTCCATCTCTTTCCCAACATATTTTTTTCGGTCAGGTCATACTTTTTATGAATATCAATCGAGCACAAGAAACCCTAGACTGAAAGCTGGAGCTATAACTTGCGTGGTCATGGAGGAGAGATTTTGTAAGCAAAGGATCTTTGATAATTATTACACCTTTCAGTAGATTAAACAATTAAGGAAATGCATGGGCCATCATTCTCCCCCCACGAGCTAGCTTTTCCATTAGCAATAGCATAGTCGTCTTCCCTGTTCGGGTCACGATTTTCATTAAAAAAAATATTTGGGGCTAATGGCACGGTTGCCAAAATCTCAACTTTGTTTAACAAAATAAAGGTAGGCAATTAAGAAGGATTTTATATTAAACAAAGCTGCTTTGATTGAGACTTGAGAGATTAACTAATTAACTAATTAGGTTGTCAAATCCCAAGGCACACTGTGGCTCCTATCTTTTACCACCCAAGCAGCAGTGGGGGTGGGGTTAGTTTCTCTCTTTTCAAAACCTGAGCCCCTCTGATCACTTTGACCATCTCCTTCCTTCTATTCCATCTGCGCCAGACCCACCCAAAAACAATCCCAACAGGCCACAGATTATTCTTCCCTGCAGTAATCTGCAATCTTTTTGGGGGGTTTAATTTTCTAATTTAATTACTATGGGGGGTTTGTAATTAACGAATTCGACACTAAACTTGAAAGAGTTTAATAGAATGATCATACAATTTGTAATTGGTTTGTATGGAAAAAGGGGAATTACTACCTCTAATTTGCTTAGGCTTGTCATATCTTCAAACTTGTTCTATTATTGCTCCACAAGATTCTATTATATGATTTCAGGGAACTCCTATGGTAACTTTAAGTAAGGTAACTTGAATTTTTTTACCTGCTATAGCAGGTTCCACAGGTTGCATTACGTAAAATACAATAGGTATTACGTAATAGTTACGTAACGTATGGTAACCTTACGTAACAGTGGTAAAGCACCATTACGTAAGCCTTACGTAATAGACGGTTATTTTACGTAATGAATATTAGCATTGCATTACGTAAAGTGTAAAGTCATTACGGAAGCCTTACGTAACGCTGCTGATTAAACTATTACGTAAGAAATAACTGTCGTATGTAAGCCTTACGTAATGGAAGGTCCCTTTACGTAATGAGTATTGGTGTCACGTTACGTAAAGAGCTAAGTCATTACGGAAGCCTTACGTAACGCTTCCATTTTAACTGTTACGTAAGAAATAACTATCATTCCGTAACCTTTACGTAATGGATGTGATTTTACGCGACAGTTGTAAAAGGTCGTTACGGAAGTCTTACGTAATGGAAGGTCCCTTTACGTAATGAGTATTGGTGTCGCGTTACGTAAAGAGCTAAGTCATTACGGAAGCCTTACGTAACGCTTCCATTTTAACTGTTACGTAAGAAATAACTATCATTACGTAACCTTTACGTAATGGATGTGTATTTTACGTAACAGTTGTAAAAGGTCGTTACGTAAGTCTTACGTAATGGAAGGTCCCTTTACGTAATGAGTATTGGTGTCGCGTTACGTAAAGAGCTAAGTCATTACGGAAGCCTTACGTAACGCTTCCATTTTAACTGTTACGTAAGAAGTAACTATCATTTCGTAACCTTTACGTAATGGATGTATATTTTACGTAACAGTTGTAAAAAGTCGTTACGGAAGTCTTACGTAATGGAAGGTCCCTTTACGTAATGAGTACTAACTGCGTGTTACGTAAAAAGCTAAATCATTACAGAAGTCTTACACAACGTTTTCTATCTAACAATTGCGTACAAAAATAACACAAACATTGCTCTATCCTAGTGGACAAAATGTTAATCATTTCGTAGTTAATGTCGTAGGTTCAATTCCCAGTAGTGTTACGTTTTACCTTTTATACATTTTCTTAACTTTAATAAATTAGTTTTATGAAGTTAATTTAACAATTTAGCCTCACTATTTATTATACATTTTAGTTTGAATTATAATTTTGCCAAGCAAATTTAATGAGTTAGCTTAAATTGATGAATTAGTTTCTCATCGCTAATATTTAGCATTTTCAATTGATGGTGGATATTATGAAAAATTGTGGTTATGTTCCTGTTACATACTGTGAATTTAGCTTGAACGGTTGATATTACGATATTCTCTATTTAAATCTAAGGTGCCAGTGATTGTAAACTTAGAATAAGCAAAGTCGGAAACTATTTCTTTCATCTTCAGAAGTCCTGTTGAGTTTAATAACGTGATTTCTTATTTTCATTGTCATTAGCAATTACTTGGTTCTATTATAGCGATATGGTGTATTTTTAATTTATCTAGTTGATTGGTACATCCAACGATATGATGTAATTTTACCAACATTATTTACTATCTTTGTCTCGCTATCTTAGTTGGTTGTATATTTTTCATGAACATGATATATGTGTATAACGTATCTATCATTTGAACCTACTTGGTTTTATCGTCTTTAACTATTAATGGTTAACAAATGAACGTACAAAAACAAATTGATTGAGCGAAAGACATATTTGAGCTTGATGTGTGGGCTTGACCAGTTCGAGTGTTTTATGTCTAAACGAGCGAGTTGGTCGATTTTGGATTGTGGTAAGTGATTGTAAACTTAGAGTAAGCGAAGTCGGAAACTATTTCTTTCATTGATTAGAAGTCACGGGATCTCACTGACCAGATAACGAGTTAGCATCTTGGGGCGAAGCCCCGGGTTAGGAGCTGGGGGTGCATTGTTCCAACCATGTATGCATGGCCTAATCTATTTTGAGTTACAAGTCAAATCGGTTTATATCTTTGATCTGGTTTGACAAGTGGAATAGTACGACCGGTGGTACAAAAATGTTTTGTCGGTTCATGCCGATTTTTAAAAATGTGAAAATGATTAATACCCGAACTATGTAATCATATACAAAACATATTTGTAGACAATTCACTTACAATCCAACCAATACCATCAACTTTTTAACGAACAAGGGCTTGGCCTAGTGGTAACACCACTAGCCTAGAACCTGGAGGTCCCAGGTTCGAATCCCTTAAGTAGTACCTTAATAGCAACAAAAATGAACCTATATCACCCTTATCAAAAAAAAAAAATACCATCAACTTTTAACTATTAAATTCAAAAAACGAATAATAAATTAACTTGTTTATTAATTAAATTCATGAAAACGATTTTTTTCTTAGAATTTATAAGTCGATTATTCCGGTCATACCAGTGGTGTCACGTCGATTTCATTAGATGCACAGATTGAACCAGGTTCAAGTTTCCCACAACATTGATGTTCGTTAAAATGTTTAAATAACTATTGGGAACATGAACGGAAGTAGACGGTCTCAAAAGTCTACACATTACATATAAAAGAAATTTCCCTGTGAACTCTTCACCTTCCGTGAGATCTTTCACCAAATCTGTTTTTAAACTGAAGCATTTTATTTCTCCAGTACCCAAATTAAATCTTACCCTCACTCCGCCATCACACTCACCTAACTGGGTTTCCACATCCATACCTTGAGCAGGTAATCCTAGTATGGTGACAACATTATCTACACTTAGAGACAATCGATTACCGTGCACATTCAGTTCACTAGTTGTCACATTGAATCTCATCATAAGGTCCTCCAAAAGATTCAACTTCAATTTATGCTTCTTCAAGTGCAAGAGTGCACCAAATCCAATTTCTTCAATGGCCCTCTTTTTTCCATCACATAAACTGTCGATGAGCTCACAAAATTGGTGTACGCCACAACGGCTACTCAAATATACCTATGTCAATCAATGCCAACCAATATGCAAATAAACAAATTTCCTATGAAATTAGAAATCAAGCAAATAAACTAATTTTATACGTAATATCAAAACAAAATCACCAAACTCAAAAGCTTAACCGTGAGTACAGTAGTCTTAAAAAGACCACTAGTTTTTAATGGATTACCTTTTTCTTTCTTTGTTGGTTTTCATCATTAATTTCGGAAGAGACTCCTTCGTCGATCTTACTCATCTTTGAACTGTACATAACAGAAATTAAATTTAAACTTTAATAAAACAAGTACGATGATGAGTAACAGCTCAGAAAAGGTTGGGTTACGTTTCATATTGAACATAAAGCTTGCAAATCCCCTTCATGCTTACGTATAACTTGCAAAAGCTTTTTAGTTTCATTATTATAGTGACGATCCAAGTAAAAAGTAATATCAGTAGAATTAACAGCAAAGGTTGGTTAATTGCAAACGTAATACCTGTCCTAATTGCAAACACGACGGCGGAATCAGAGTAGTGCGACGCGGAAGGGCGAACTCCGCTGTCCGTAGTTGCTGGTCGCTGCTAGATAAAACGAAGGCCGGATCAGAGCAGCGACGCGGCGATGTTGGAGGAGACGCGGCGATTTCGGAGAAGACGCGGCGACTTTTGCTGGTGAAGAGGAAGAGGACTGGCGGTGGTGATGATGTCGACGACGAGGGATTCTGGGTAAACGGATCAGAGGTGATCGCAGAGCGAGTTGTCGATGGCGGAGGTCAGCGATGCGGCCGGATCAGGACTGGAATTTAGTGCGGCCGGAGTCGATGGTGATGTGCGGCTGGGGATGGCGAACTCCGCTGGGGAGTTGACGTAAGCGCACGCCGGGAGGGAGCCTAGCCTGTCGATTGCCGGCAAGGATACATACGTACAGCTACGACGGCGGCCGCAACGAAGATGAAGCTTGAGATTATTTAGACTCGGGACTGCAGATTAAGCAATAATTAGGAGGAACAAAACCCTAACGCGTTGGTGACGGGAACAATAAAACTAATGAATAAGTGAGATGACCGGCAGCCCCGATGACAAGTATTACGGATGTTTTTATGTTTTCTAATCCGAGGGTCTAAGTTTATTTATTTTAATCTAACGGTGTAAATCTATATAAGTTACCTAACTTGAAATTATACCCCAGTTACCGTAGGAGATCCCTATGATTTCATATTCGCTTCAACATGTAAATTTGACTACTTATAACTTATAAATAAGCATCGGGCTGATATCCAATACATCGCGCCATTGTGCTTTACACAATAAAGCTCCTTAACGGCCTATTATATACTTAATAATTTAAGTCATTTATCTTATTTGTATGTGTCTATCATCTAATCTGGTTCTCTCAATCCACCTCAATTTTACTTTATACTGTAGACCCCTGTAAAAGCCGATTATGCTTAGTAATTTAAATCATATATCACTTATTTGTACAAATCGATGGTTTACCTTCTCCTATCTCTTCTCTCCTGCTGCCCCAGTCGACCACTAGAATTTGAGCATTGTGCTTGCCTTCCTAGTGCTTCATGCTAGAGACTGGGAGCCACGAGTTGTCCACATCTTTTACATGTAGAACTAAGGTTATTACGCAAACTAGTGTACACTTTTTAGTCTTTAGAATCCATTGGAACTTACACTAGTTGTGTCCTTTAGAAAACTACACCCGAAGGAAACAAATCTTAGCTTTTCCGCTGAAGAAAAATACACTGAGACACCAGCACTAGTACTATACTATTACCACAAAAGGGAACAACATATATGCATCTTTTAATCTTATCACTAACACTACACAAACCATCTTCTACAACTGGAAAAAGGCAAAGAGTACAGACTGATACCAACCCTTTCCCCACGCTCCTACTTCAACACTACTAGGAAAATAAGTGGTATTTCCACTTATACTAACATCACAGCGTCTCATTGTATCAGTTCTCAATCGTTGAATCGAACATATTTTGATTCAACGACGGAGAACTGACATCCTTAACGATATTACATCAACATTAACGACCAAACTAGTAAAATAAAAAGTTCCCCAAATACAAATAAAGGAGAAAAAACAAAGTCGAACTTCTACAAAATACGAATAAGGCAAAAAAAAAAAAACTACTGGTTAATTTCTAATAAGAAATACTGATACTTCCAAACCACTACATATCATAGCTTCTACAGCTTCACGTGTTACTCCAAACCTTCACGTGAAAACATTTCTGACCTTTCCCTTCGCCTTCCAATTTAATTCCATCCGTGGTGGTAGTAACCGTAATTACCATAATGCCCCCACCCCTGCTGCGGCGGCGTCGGCGGCGGCTTCGACACCAAACCACTCCCTCCGGCGACCGGAGACTTCGCCGACGTGGAGGAGGAGAAAACCCCGTTCCAGATCTCGGAGAAGGCGCGGACGATGATGCCGTGGTGGTACGGCGAATTGAGCTGGAGGAAGCAGTTGAGGAGCTCCCTGAGATCGTCCCGCGAGTAAATCTGCTTCTCCAGGATCATCTGCAGCATCGACTGACGGAAGTCGAGGTACGGGTCGTCGGAGTCCTTCTCCACCGCCACGCTCTCCCCGCCCAACCGGCCAAACCCTCTCACCGTCCTCCCGCACGATTCGTCCTCGTCGTCGGAATCCGCCGCCGCCGCGGCGGGGGAGAAGGTCGCCGCCGTGGTGGGAATGCTGCTGTCGTAGGGCGACGTGGAGGAAGAGGGGTAGTAGGAATACGGCGACCTAGTCGTGGCGGCGGCGGCGGCGGTGGTGGAGAAATAGGGGTTTTTGTAATTGTGGTGCTTGCGGTAGGTGGTGGGTTTTGGTTTTGGGTGGAAAATGGAGGAGAGGAGCTTCTTGGGCTTCCTGCAGCTGCCGGCGCCGCATCCCAGATCGACGGCGACGGAGCTGAAAACTAATTTTTTCTTGCCGGTGCCGGACATTGTGCAGTGGTGGTGGGGGGTGTTTGGTTTCTGGGAAAATGGAAAGAAGGTTTTGGGGATTTGGTTTTGGTTTGTTGCGGAAAGAGCGGCAGAGAGAGAGAGAGGTGGACGAGAGGCGTTCCCTATAAATCCTGAGAATGGGATTTAGCGGAAGAAGATGCCGCTGCTTGGTGGGGCCCACAATTGAATGATAGGATGACAAGGCCGTCCTGGTATCTCTGCGACGGTTTGATCGTGGCCGTTGGTTCTGGATAGAGATTCGGGGAACTTGATTGGATCATTAGCCTGATATAACTGTTGTTTGTTGCTGTAAATTTTTTTTTTTTTTGAAAGGGTTGCTGTAAATTTAGGTGTTCCGACTTTTGAGCGTTCCATGAAGTTAACGGTAAATTTTGATTAACACTATTGAGTGTTAAATCAGAAATCAACCATTCAAAAATCAAAACTAGTATTTTATTCATAGTTAGTAAAATATGGCACGGGAAAATTACGTATAAAATACATACGGATGTTTTACTTCGTATATAAGCTAATGTTACGTTTAATAGTACGTTAATAGTCATAAATATATAAAATTAATTATTTTATATATATAATATTAAAGTTAACAATTTAATTCATTAAATATGAATATTAAACGTGTTATCTGGGTTTTATACGTGTTTAGTACGAGAGACATCAAATAAACGGGGGAAAATGAAACGACTTGATAATAATACGGATACGAAAGTTTTAAATGGATAAAATACGTACGGGTACATATACGTGTATTAAACGGAGTATTTACTAATTATACTTTTATCTAGGGGTGGACGAACAGTTTTTGGTTAGTAGTTAACCGTTTCGATTTAGCCGAAAACTGCTACAAATTGGAGGTGGTCGATTGTCAGAAGGGCTGGGGAGAGGGTCGGTTAGCCGACTAACCGACCCTCTCTCCAACCCTCCAAAACGACCCCGCAGTGGCGCAGTCCCTTCCCCAAAAATGACTCCCCAACCCCCCAAAATGACCCTTAAGTCCCTAACGAGGCTGGATCCTGTGACTATGCTTAGTCACTTGACTACACCCCTCTCAGCCCTTAGATCTGTACACACCAATCTGACGATTAAAAGTGGGAAGGTCTTTTTAATTAATGACAGGGGTAGTTTGAGTATTATGGAAAATTATGAAGTATACAAACCGACCTTACAAACAGTACAAACCATACAATCATACGAACAATACAAACTAGAGCGACAAAACATGCAAACAGATTTACAAACAATACAAAACGTATAACTATACAAACAATACAAACTAGACCGACAAACATTACAAACATAAAAAATGGAAAACAACCAGGTTGACTTTGGAGGCTCCATCCCTATATAGAGGGGCACCGTCGCAAAGTCAACCCGGTTGTTTTTTAGACATACAAACATTACAAAAATGATGGACAAAAATTACAAACTAGACCAACAAACCATACAAAATGGAAAAAGAATCGGTTGACTTTGGGGGCTCCATCTCTATATAGAGGACTTCCGTCCAAAAGTCAACCAGGTTATTTTTTAGACATAAAAACATTACAAACATGGTGGACAACAATAACAAAGCTTACAAACATTATAAAAGAAACCGACAAACATTACAAAATAACAAAGTTTACAAACATTACAAAAGAAACCGACAAACGGCACAAACATACTAACTGTACAGAATACCACTACTTACAATACAAATCAGTAAACTTTTATTATAAACCAATTAATACAAAGTATAAAAATCATAGCATAAAGTATACAAAATAGACAAACAAACATTACAAATTACAATATATACAAAATAGTCATATAAACATTACAAACATAATAGATAAAAATGTCAAACAATACAAACCGAAAATGATATAAACATTAAAAACCGGACTTATAAACATTACAAAATAGGTTGACAAACATAACAAATCCAGCACTAGCGCCGGAAAATTCTCATTTGCCGTCTCCGGTCGCCGGAAACCCTCCTCCGTCGCCGAAAAACGTTGCCGGATAAATTCTCTCTCTCTCTCTCTCTCTCTCTCTCTCTCTCTCTCTCTCTCTCTCTCTCTCTCTCTCTCTCTCTCTCTCTCTCTCTCTCTCTCTCTCTCTCTCTCTCTCTCGTTTGGGGCATCTGGGGGAAATTCCCTTAAAAGGTGGTCGGCGGCGGGGTGGGGAAATTATTTCCAGGGGATGGCCATATTAAACCCACGCCGCCGGAGGGGAAATCGGCGGCAGAAATTTTCCCCGGCGGGGAAGGTTATTTCTCGGGGAAGGTAGCCCAAATTTTTTAATTATTTACTATTTTAATTAATAAATTAAATAATCATGTAATTACTATATTGCCCTTCATTCAATTGAATTAATTGGAGCCCTTGGATTTTAATGAGGTGGAAGGGCTGAGATTCACTTAGCCATGTGACTAAGGGACCCCCTAGTCACCAGATCTTAGCCCGTCCCTAAACCCAATTGACCCAACCTAACCCTTACCCCAACTTCGGCCTTCACCCTGAATCTCTCCCTCTCGTCTCCCAAATGCCTCACCACCTCGATGGCAGCGGCGCAACACCAAGAAGAAACTCAGCCTCGTCTGCCACTGGCGACGTCGCCGCTCAACTGCGACCTCGCCGGCGCCTTGCCTCTTCGCCTGCACCCGGCGCCATCACCCCCTCTCCACGACATCGCCTCTAGTCCATAGTGGAAAGTGCAATTGATACTGGTAATGTTGCCAATGCAGATGCAAGTCTCAACATTCCCGTGGAGAATGAGCAGGAGGGTGAAGAAGAAGTGCCAGAGGAAGACTATGAGAAAGATGGATATGACGATTATGATCATGACTTCTTGGGCCAATTGAGAGAACAAGGTTATGTGGTTCTTCTCCTACTGTTGATAAGTGATGAATGATGATGATTTGTTGTTGACTTGAGTTGCTATTTGAATCGATTGTGATTTGTGAATTGTGGAGTTTATGACTATATGTTGTTGAATTAATGAATTTGAGACATTTAATTTGGTGATTTAGATGTATTTTAGATGCAAAAGGGATTGAGACTTTACAATGGGTGATTTAGATGAAGAAATATAAATTTGACGCTTTAATTTCAGGCGATTTTGGGGATTTTTTTCACTCAGGTGGGGTTGGTTATGGTCTGTTACCTAGTTAAAACTGAATCGACATGCAGAATTTCGGTTACCACAGCTAACTGAACCAAAAAATAATAACCGATCAATCAGTGGTCGGTCCGTGGCGTGTCTCACAGTCGGTGGTCGGAAGCAGGAGGGAGTGTCTCGATTAACCAGTAACTTTTTTTGTTACTATACATGTATTATTGTAAATTTGAAAGTTCCTAGTTGAAACGTGAAACACTCGATCCCATGGATCATCCTGCGTTGTATGTATTTGAGATTGCTTGGGAGATACGCTGGAGTGAAATTAAGGTTGTAAGGGCTTATGAAAAATCATAGATATCATATATTAAATTGAAAACTTTAATCGAACGCATACTGAACCTTCGATCGAGCATATTCTAGCCATTTCAGTAAATTCCAATTCAATTAGTACATTGGACTTGTGTGGGATACGGAGTAGAAAGTTTAGTTGGGGTCATCATTTCACATGTGCTTCCACTTGAGCTGACCCTGCCTGAGTCAAGGACGTCCCAAGACGCTCAATGGAAAAGCCATAAACAACCAATGGGGTACCCCTATCACATAAAGGAAAAACCTACTTGAGAATCCAAAGCCGGGTATTGGTAGGTGATTAGAGTGAATCTCCTTTAGCGGAAGAAATAGAAGCTCGAGAAGAAATACCAAAATCTAGTTCGCTCGCTGAATCTATTTGCTTCCATGGCTAAAAGGTTAAACCGTCCAAGTCTCTCCTGAAGTACCAGAAGTGCACTTCGCTCGGTGAATAATAAAGACATCCGTTTGCAGTTGAATGGACGTGAAGAGGTCGTAAGGATTAATGACATATAATTATGTACTAAGATATAATAGTTCTCTCCTTGCACCACACAATTACATGTGTTCTTCAAAATCTTCTTTATTTTTTCAATTATCTTCTATTGTAAGTATAACATAGATTTTTGTCAAAGCAAGAAGGGTATTAGGTTTACAAACAAGTACAATCAAGTAGCTAGGTTGATTTGAAAATAATTTTTTCCATGTAAGATTTACACTAGGTTGTGTTCTTGTGTCGTATTTCAAGTCCTAGAGAATGGTGGAGCGTCAGAAGAGAGTTTTAGAGCATTTAGAGGCCAAAAAGGAGTAAAAGAAGGCCAACAATGATGCTCATGGCCAGGGCCATAAACATCACGGTCGTGAGAATCAAATTTCAACATGTGCAACCATTTTAGATGTTCTGCCAAAAAGTCATAGGCTTAACAAGCAAAATCAAGGGGGTGATATATGACATTCTTTGTACGGTCATATGTTGAGTTTTGGAAAGTCATAGGCATAATGACAAAAATCACGGTCAGAATTTTTTACAGTGATTTTCATACTTCTGATATGAAAGGGTTTCTGCGATTCTGGGAATGGAGAGCGGGATTTTGGTATTCCAAACACACAAGTGATGAACCCTAGACATAGAAAGCAATCCAGGGGCGATCTTGGAGAAAAATTGAATGATTTCTTTACAATTAGAGCTCAAGGAACAAAGGTTGGAAGGATTGAAGAACAAGAGCTAATTTATGTATTCTCTCTCCTCCCTGTAAAGTAAACCTAGTCATGTTTTGTTTGATTTGATGATTGTATGAGTACTCTTACTTGATAAACTTGAGTTCATAAACTATACATGTTTTATGGAAAAATTCTTCTTTCGTCGAGATTATTGATTTCTGCTTTAATCTATAAGAGAGAATATTCAATTAGGTTGATATACCATCGTGAAGTAGGAGATCGATTATGCGAGGTGGTAGGTGTTTCATAGTAGATAATTTTACAACCAATATAGAAATAGTTAGTATTGGATTTAGGGTAAATACAAT